GACATGCGGCTGACATTCTATAGTGTATTTCTGTGATGAACTACCAAGCAACAAAAGTATTGTGACTGAAGTATTAAACTGAAAAGAACATTGATATCTCATCGTGAAAAAAAAAGCTTCGGTAAATGAATTACCAACTCCTGTCCTATTTGGGAAAATAACATATATCCTGCCAATGACACCCTATCTTGGATAATCTGTGCTGCAGAAACCAATTAATACCTTATAAAAGGAAAAACTATAAAAACAAGTCAAGCTCGAGTGAGTAAGAATGTTACATTTCCAGAAAACCATCCAGAACTGTTTGAACAGCACGTGAAATGGTGTCACCAGAAAAAGCGGGAATTAGAGGTTCTGGTGACAAAGAAGCACATGATAAAACAAAACTTACAGTGCAATCTGCAAATTGTAGAATATGTCGGTTCAGTAGAGATCGGAAAAGTTCAAATCTCTGACGTTATCTGACGGGTTCCATACCAAAATACAGTAAACACAACTGGGAAGTTTGTACTTGTTTCAAATTACACTAACAAAATCTTTAAGGATCTCTGTACACTGAAATTGCAGTTTTTCGAAACATCCTTTTATGTCTATAAAGATATACGGAAGCACCCTTACCTTAGCTACGCAATCAAGGTTAGTATGATCTTCAAGCAACAGCTGAGCTAGGAGTAGCCAGTGGGAACAAAAGTGGATGTATTATGTCGGGGCAGCATTTAGAATGAACAGGTTACTTGTCTGCAAGAAAGCAACGTATTCATTAGATTATATAGAATGCGAAAACTTATTCATTCCATTCTGATAATTTCCAGTCATTGAACATATTGCGGGATATCCATATCCACAAGTCGATATTTTCTAGTCAAACTGTATGCTATCTCCAATATTGTAGACCCGTGTGCTAGTGAAAAAAGGAAATAGAATTTGAGCCTATTTACAGTACTACATGATTCAGTTATCAATTATAAATGCTCTTTGGTTAAAAAGTATATAAAACAAATGAAACTCTAACGAACAAAAGGATATAAACAAAGTACCCATGAGTAACTTGAGTGAAGAGGCAATGTACCCGTCAGAGAAAAGAATCTATCTATGAAACAGAGAATACAACCTCAACAAGAGCAGCTAAACTGACACCACATGCAATCCAGAAAAGACGATAGGGCGAAAGAGTTCCTTTGGCTACTGCACAAACCAATTTAAAAAGAGATGGAGATGATGTCACCAAGATAGCATTTACAAGGTTCTGAGATGATTAATGTAAGGTAAGTCAGCTCATATTCCGGGAAGAAAATGCAAAAAGTGAGAAGAACACTTATCTGTACGGAAGAGTTATAAAGAAACCTTGAGTCTCTTTCTGCTTTTTGGTAAGCCACAAAAATCTGTACAAACGAGAATCTAACAGTTGGTCTTCTAGGAGAACACCCTACTTAAAAAAGGCATAGGATGACAATAATTTTAAATAAACAAACACCAAACTTACCAAATATCTTGGAACAATGCCTCATGACCATCCCATGTCTGAAATGAAAGC